GGTTTTTTTTTGGGGAGGGGGGCCAGGAGAAAGCTGGGGGGCTGAGACCCCCCCCAAGGGCAGGGAGGGGCTCCCCCTGCTCCCGGGGTGGGGGCAGGGCTGGGGGTCCCCATCCCCCCCCCAGGCTGGAGCGTTCCCAACCCCCCCCACGCGGCGCGGGGGCCCCCCCGAGGCAGAGGAGCCCCCCAGGGCGGGGGGAGGGCCGGGGGTCCCTCAGTCGTCGTCGAAGTTCTGGCTGAGCAGGAAGTTGGCCGCCAGGTTCTCGTTCTTCTCGCAGGCGAAGTAGGCCTGGATCACCAGGCTCTCGGGAAAGCCCAGCGCCTTCAGCTGGGGCGGGGTCTCAGCAGGGCCGGACCCCGAGCGGGACCCCCAGGACGGAGCCCCCGCCCTGGGGACCCCCAGAACCCCCGCCCTGGGACCCTCAGCCCTGCTGACCCCAGGGACCCCCAGCCCTGGACCCCCGGCCCTGCTGACCCCAGAACAGGACCCCCAGAACAGGACCCCCACCCCGGGACCCCCAGCCCCGGGACCCCCAACCCTGCTGACCCCAGAACAGGACCCCCAGAATGGGACCCCCACCCTGGGACCTCTGCCCTGGGACCCCCACCCCGGGACCCCCGGCCCTGCTGAGGGCACCCACTGACCCCAGGGACCCCGGATCCCACTGGTGCCCCCTCCTGACCCCATTAACCCAAGCCCTAATTAATCCTATTTTCTGTTTCCTGTTCACTCTGGGAATGCCCTAAAAAGGGCATTTCCCATCAGTGCTAATTAACTGTGGATGCTAATTATGGCACGGTGTCCGTGTGTCCCTGTGTCCCCATGTCCCCGTGTCCCCCGGTCTGTCCCCGTGTCCCTCTGTCCGTCCCCAACGCCCGTCCCGTCCCAGGGCGGCGCGGGTGGCCCGCAGCCTGTCCCCAATGTCCCCTATCCCCATGTCCGTCTGTCCCCGTGTCCCCCGGTCTGTCCCCATGTCCCCCGGTCCGTCCCCAACGCCCATCCCTGTCCCAGGGCGGTGCGGGTGTCCCGCAGCCTGTCCCCAATGTCGCCCCCATTAACCCTAGATCCTAATAACCCTATTTCCCATTTCCCACTCTCTCCGACCCCTAAAACCATTTCCTGTCATTCTTAATTAACTCTGGATGCTAAATATAGCACGTCTCCATTAACCCTAGATCCTAATAACCCTATTTCCTATTTCCCCCTGACTCTGACTCCTAAAACCATTCCCCACCACTGTTAATTACCTTTGGATGCTAATTACAGCCCCCCCCCCATCCCCTGCGGGCGGCACCGCCCCCAGGCCCGTTTTGGGTTCAAACCCGGCGTTTTCCCCCAGCCCCAGCCCCCAGCCCCGCTCACCCTCTCTATGGCTTCCTTCTCCTGCGGGGTCACCTGGATGTAGTTCATCTGGGGGGCCTCGTCGCCCATGGCCCCCACCTCGCCCTCCAGCTCGCCCAGCTCGCCCAGCGGCTCGTTCAGCATCTGGATGAACTGCTCCTGGTGCTGGCTGATTTGCTGGGGGGCAGGGCTGTGCTCAGCTCGGGGTTTTGGGGGGCTCAGGGGGGTTTTGGGGGGCTCGGGGGTACCTGGAGCAGCTGGGGGTTCTCCTGGCCCAGCTGCTGCAGCAGCGCCGGGAGCAGCGCCGGGTTCTGCTGGATCACCTGGCGCATGTTCTGGAACTGCGGCTGCTCCCGCAGGAACTCCAGCGGGTTCTCGCCTGGGGGCGGGGCCGGCAGGTGAGGCCACGCCCACCGGGGGGTGTGAATAAACCACACCCACCCTGGGGCGTGAATAAACCACACCCACAATGGGGTGTGAATAAACCACACCCACCATGGGGTGTGAATAAACCACACCCACAATGGGGCACAGATAAACCACACCCACCGTGGGGCGTGGATAAACCACACCCACCGTGGGGTGTGAGTAAACCCCACCCACAATGGGGTGTGAATAAACCACACCCACAATGAGATATTGATAAGCCACACCTACAATAGAGCATGGATAAACCACACCCACCATGGGGCACAGATAAACCACTCCCACAATGAGATATTGATAAGCCACACCCACAAGAGAGCATGGATAAACCACGCCCCAAATCGGGCACAGATAAACCACACCCACAAGGAGATACCGATAAGCCACACCCACAAAGGGGCGTGGTGAGACCACACCCCTTTCTCCGCCCAAACCGTACCTGGATGGGGCCACACGGACTCCCTCCACCATCACAGACCACGCCCCCAAAGAGGCGGGGCTTACACATATCCCACAGAAAGGGGTGTGGCTTACCCCAGACCACACCTCCAACAATGAACAAGGTAATTTATGAGTGCTTAGCTCCACCCCAAGTGGGCGGGGCCTCAGGGGGTGTGGCCATGAGTAAACCCCACCCACCATGGGGCGTGAATAAACCACACCCACCATGGGGCGTGAATAAACCACGCCCACCATGGGGCGTGGATAAACCACACCCACCGGGGGGTGTGAATAAACCACGCCCACAATGGGGCACAGATAAACCACGCCCACAATGGGGTGTGGTTAAACTGCACCCATGATGCTGTGTGAATAAACCACGCCCACAATGAGCTAGATAAGCCACGCCCACAATGGGGTGTGAAAGAGCCACGCCCACAATGGGGTGGGGTTAAACTGCACTGATGCTGCAGTGTGAATAAGCCACACCCACAATAGGGCGTGGATAAACCACGCCCAAAATTGGGCACAGATAAGCCACACCCACAAGGAGATACCGATAAACCACACCCACAATGGGGCGTGGGGAGACCACACCCCTTTCTCCCCCCAAACCGTACCTGGCTGGGGTGGGGCCACATGGACTCCCTCCACCCTCACAGACCACGCCCCCAAAGAGGCGTGGCTCACACATATCCCACGGAAAGGGGTGTGGCTTACCCCAGACCACACCTCCAACAATGAACAAGGTAATTTACGAATGTTTAGCTCCACCCCCAGTGGGCGGGGCCTCAGGGGGTGTGGCCACCCAGCCCCCTGAGGGCCCCCCAGCCCCCAGCCCACCTTGGTGACCATGACCACCACGAAGTTCTTCTCGTCGATGCGGTACTCGCGGATGGGCACGTCGTCGCTCAGGATCTTGCCGGCGTAGATCAGCTTCTGGCCGGCCACGGGGAACGCCTCGCTGCCCTTCTCGGCCTCGATCTTCTCCTTCAGGGCCCGCACCTGCGCCCCAGGGGGGTCAGGGGGGCCCAGAGACCCCCAGGGACCACCCAGAGACCCCTGGGAACCCACCCAGAGACCAAGGGGCTTTGGGACCCTCCAAGGCTCCCTGGGGACCCCAGATCCCCCCCAGGACCCCTCAGGGATCCCCCAAATGGCCCTGAGACCCCCAAATACCCCCCAGAGACCCCTCAGGGTTCCCCCAAATGGCCCTGAGACCCCCCAAACCCTCCCGGGGACCCCCAAATCCCTCCCCAGGACCCCTCAGGATTCTCCTAAGTGGCTCAGAGACCTCTCAGACCCTCCAAATCTTACCCAGGGACCCCCAAATCCCTCTCAGAACCCCTCAGGGATCCCCGAAATGGCTCCCAGCCCCCTCCAGCTTTGCAGAGGGACCCCCAGCTCCCTCCCCCAGCCCCCTGAGGGCCCCCCAGCCCCCAGCCCACCTTGGTGACCATGACCACCACGAAGTTCTTCTCGTCGATGCGGTACTCGCGGATGGGCACGTCGTCGCTCAGGATCTTGCCGGCGTAGATCAGCTTCTGGCCGGCCACGGGGAACGCCTCGCTGCCCTTCTCGGCCTCGATCTTCTCCTTCAGGGCCCGCACCTGCGCCCCGGGGGGGTCAGGGGGCCTCAAAAGCCCCCCCAGAGACCCCCAGAGACCCCTGGGAACCCACCCAGAGACCCCCGGGAACCCACCCAGAACCCACCCAGAGCCCGCACCTGCACCAGGGGGGTCAGGGGGCCTCAAAAACCCCCCAGGGACCCCCAGAGACCCCTGGGAACCCACCCAGAGCCTGCACCTGCGCCCCAGGGGGGGTCAGGGGGGCCCGGAGACCCCCAGGGACCCCCGGGAACCCCTAGGAACCCACCCAGAGAGCCCCAGACAGCCCCGGAATCACCCAGAGTGCCCCAAAATCCCCCAGAGCCACCCAGAGAGCCCCAGAAACCACCCAGAACCCACCCAGAACCCACTCAGAGACCCTCGGAACCCACCCAGAACTACCCAGAGACCACCCAGAGACCCCAGGAACCAACCAGAGCCACCCAGACACCGCTGGAACCCCCCCAGAGACCCCCAAAACCACCCAGAACCACCCAGAGACCCCTGGAACCACCCAGAACCCACTCACGAGACCACCCAGAAGCACCCAGAACCACACAGAGCCCCCCAAAAACCACCCAGAACCACTCAAAGCCCCCCAGAACCACCCAGAGACCCCCAGAACCACCCAGAGACCCCCAGAACCCACCCAGAACCACCCAGACACTGCTGGAACCCACCCAGAGCCCACCCAGAACCACCCAGAGCCCACCCAGAACCCACCCAGAGCCCCCTGGAACCCACCCAGAGCCCACCCAGAGCCCCCAGAGCCGTCCCGGAGCAGGGCAGGCACCAATCCCAAATGGTCCCAGAGAACCTTCCTGAGCAAACCTCCCCAAGTGAGGCAGAAATCCCAAATATCCCCAAAACATCTCCCCAAATAAACCTGCACAAGGGCAGCCACAAATCCCAAACGTTCCTAAAAAACCTCCCCAAAGGAATCTCCACAAATGGAGGCACAAATCCCAAATATTTCTGAAAACCTTCCAGAACAGATCTCCACAGGAGAAACAAAAACCCCAAATAATCCCCCCAAAAATATCCTCTCAAATAATCCTCAGGGGAGGCACAAAGCCTCAATATTCCCAAATAATCTCCCCAAATAAATCCCCCCAACTGAGCCCTGAGAAGAGCCACAAATCCCAAATGTTCCCAAGGAATTTTCCTAAATAAATCCCCACAAATCATCCCCGAAAAGAGGCACAAACCCCAAATACTCCTAAAGAATCTTCCAAAAAAACAAAAAATCTCTCCAAATAAACCCCAAGAGAAGCATAAATCCCAAATATTCCTAAAAAATCTCCCCAGAAGATCCCTGAGAGGGGCCACGAATCCCAAATGTTCTCAAAGAATTTTCCTGAGTAAATCTCCTCAGAGGACACCCAAGGAAGGCACCAACCCCAAATATTCCTAAAAAATTCTCCCCAAAAAAAACCCCCAGGGATTCTCCAAACCCCAAATATTCCCAAAATTCTCCCCAAAAAAAACCCCCAGGGATTCTCCAAACCCCAAATATTCCTAAAAATTCTCCCCCAAAAAAACCCCAGGGATCCTCCCAACCCCAAATATTCCCAAAATTCTCCCCAAACCCCCCCGGGGTCTCAACAACCGGGACCCCCAGAAAGGGGCGGACCCGGAGCCCCCCGAGCCCCAAAGCGGGGGCACCGGAGCCCCAAAAACGAGGAGCGACCCCCCCGAAGCGGGGCCACCGGCGCCCCCCGAGCCCCCCGGACCGGAGGCCCCGGAGGCGCCGCCGCGGCGGGAGCGCCGTGAGGGCGGCGGGGGGGGCGCGGCCGCGCCCTCACCGTCTCGTGCGGCTCCATGCGGATCTTGAAGGTTTGCTGCTGCAGCGTCTTGAGCGTGACGGTGACCGCCATGGCGGGACGGGCGCGGGCGGCGGCGGCTCCTCCCGGCGGCCCCACAACATGCAACTCACGCCGCCGCCATCTTAGGCGGCCCCGCCGCTTCCGCCGCGGCGCCGGAAGTGCGTCACGGCGCGCCGGCGCGCGGGACGGGGGGGCGCGGCCGTTTCCTCGTCACGTGACGCGCGGCGGCGGCACAAAATGGCGGCGGGCGCAACATGGCGCGGGAAGAACGAGCGGACAGCGGAGCCGGGACCGCGGTTAATTTAATAGAAACCGAATGGCGACACCCCCCCGTACAGTCCCGTGCGACACCGCCGGTGCTCCACCCCCCGCCCAGCCCGCCCCGCAACGTCCCCGGCGCTGGTCCTGAGTGCGGCCCGCGCGGCGCCGGTGCCGCTCCGGGCCCGGCCCCCGGCGCCGCTGCGGGCCCGGGGCCGCTCCGGGCTCGGCCGGGCCCGTACAAAAGAGTCCAGGTCTCACAGAGACAGAAGGGGCCGCGCGGGGCCCTCAGAGCTCGTCCCGCGGGGCCGCCTCCGCCTCCTCGGCCTCGGGCTCTTCCTCGTCCTCCTCCTCCTCCCCCGGGCCCCCCCTGACCTGCCAGAGGTCGAGGCCGATGACGCCGAAGCTGTCGTAGGCGTAGAGCAGCGGGTCGGGGCTGTACTCGGGGTTCTCGATCTCGGGGTGCACCCACTTGCCCTTGTAGTTGGGGTTGTCGATCTGCTGCGGCCTCCACTCGCCCTGGGGGGCGCAACGGGGGGCTCAGGGGGGGCTCAGCCCCCTCCCCGGCCCCCCCCAGGCCCCCCAGCCTCACCTTGTACTCGGGGTTCTGGATGACGGGGGGCTCCCACTCCCCGTCCATCTCCTCGTCCCAGTCCTCCGGCTTCTTGGCCTCGGGGTCGGGGATGTGCTCGGGCTTGTCCCAGTCCTGCGGGGGGCTGGGGGCTCAGGGGGGGCTCAGGGGGCTGCTGTGCCCCCCCAAGGGGCTGCTGTGCCCCCCCAGGGGCTGCTCTGCCCCCCAGGACGGTGCCACAAACCTCCCTCCACTCCCCAACCCTCCCCAGTCCCCCCATTCTCCTGCCTTTTCACAAGACCCCCACAGCGCCGGGAGACCCCCGGGCCCTCCCCAAGACCCCTCAGAGCTCCCCCAAAGCCCCCATCCCCACCTCGGGCTTGGTGTCCTCGGGGTCGTCGATCTTGGCCCGCTCGTCCCAGTCCTCGGGTTTCTTGGCCTCGGGGTCCTTGATCTTCTTGGGGGGCAGGAAGTCCCAGTCCTCCTCCAGGCTCCCCGACTCCACGCGGGCGTTGTCGATCTTCACCTCGTACGTGTTGTCCGGCCGCACCACCAGCGTGTACAGGTGGGTGAACTCGTCGTCCTGGGGGGCACGGGGGGGCTCAGCAGGGCCGGGCACCCCCCGAGGGGCACCCAGCACCCCCAGACCCACCTTGCAGCGGATGTCCTTGTTGATCAGCACGTTCTTGCCTTTGTAGTTAAAGATCACGTGCACCTTCTTGGTGCCGGGGCCGCAGATGTCGGGGCCTGGGGGGGGCACGGCGAGGAGGGGGGCTCAGCGAGGGGCTGAGCCCCCCCGGGGGGGCTGGGGGGACGCCGGGGGAGGCGCACCGAACATGATGTTGTACTCGGAGTCGCCGTGCATGTCCTCCTGGCTCAGGCTGGCCGGGAAGAGCTTGACGTAGCCGCCGCCGCAGTCGATGTTCTGCTCGTGCTTCACGGTGAACTGCAGCACCAGCGTCCTGTCGCGGTTGCTGAAGGGCTCGAAGCGCGACGACAGGGCGTAGAAGCGCGCGTCCTGGCTGGTCTGGATGCCTGCGGGGCGGGGGCGGTGAGGAACTGCGCGGCCCGCGGCTCCTCCCACCCCGCCGGCCCCGCTCACCTTTGTCCTTCTCGGCGTCGCCGTAGAACTTGCCGGCGGTGAGCACGAAGCGCCCGTAGTCGGGTTTGTGCTTGGATTCCACCCACCGGCTGCTCCAGGCGTCTGTGGGAGGGCAGGGTCAGCGCCCCGGGACCCTCCGGGGCTGGCCCTGCGCCCCCAAACCCCTCCTGTGCCCCCCCGGGGCTGCTCGGGCTGGTTTTAGGGTTGCAGAGTTCCCCAGGAGCTCTCTCCGTGCTCCTCGTGATCCTTTTCCTGCTGCTTTCGCCCTGTTCCACCTGCTCTGCACCCCCAAACCCCTCCTGTGCCCCTTCCCCGGGTCTGTTCCTGGCTGGTTTTAGGGTGGCAGAGGAAAGCAGAGCTCCCCAGGAGCTCTCTCTGTGCTCCTCACAATCCTTTTCTTGCTGTTTTCACCCTGTTCCACCTGCTCTGCCCACCCAGGCCTGGCTCTGCACCCCAAACCCCTCCTGTGCCCCTTCCCCGGGTCTCTGCTGCGTGGTTTTAGGGTGGCAGAGCTCCCCAGAAGCTCTCTCTGTGCTCCTCGTGATCCTTTTCCTGCTGCTTTCACCCTGTTCCACCTGCTCTGCACCCCCAAACCCTTCCTGGCCCTTCCCCGGCTCTGTTCCTGGCTGGTTTTAGGGTTGCAGAGGAAGGCAAAGTTCCCCAGGAGCTCTCTCTATGCTCCTCACAATCCTTTTCTTGCTCTTTTCACCCTGCTCCACCTGCTCTGCCCACCCAGGCCTGGCTCTGCACCCCAAACCCCTCCTGTGCCCCCTCCCCGGGTCTCTGCTGCATGGTTTTAGGGTGGCAGAGCTCCCCAGAAGCTCTCTCTGTGCTCCTCGTGATCCTTTTCCTGCTGCTTTCACTCTGTTCCACCTGCTCTGCCCGCCCAGGGCTGGCCCAGAGCCCCCCACCCTTCCTGGCCCTTCCCCGGGTCTGTTCCTGGGTGGTTTTAGGGTGGCAGAGCTCCCCAGGAGCTCTCTCTGTGCTCCTCGTGATCCTTTTCCTGCTGCTTTCACCCTGTTCCACCTGCTCTGCACCCCCAAACCCTTCCTGGCCCTTCCCCGGCTCTGTTCCTGGCTGGTTTTAGGGTTGCAGAGGAAAGCAGAGCTCCCCAGGAGCTCTCTCTGTGCTCCTCACAATCCTTTTCTTGCTCTTTTCACCCTGCTCCACCTGCTCTGCCCACCCAGGCCTGGCTCTGCACCCCAAACCCCTCCTGTGCCCCCTCCCCGGGTCTCTGCTGCATGGTTTTAGGGTGGCAGAGCTCCCCAGGAGCTCTCTCTGTGCTCCTCGTGATCCTTTTCCTGCTGCTTTCACTCTGTTCCACCTGCTCTGCCCGCCCAGGGCTGGCCCAGAGCCCCCCACCCTTCCTGGCCCTTCCCCGGGTCTGTTCCTGGGTGGTTTTAGGGTGGCAGAGCTCCCCAGGAGCTCTCTCTGTGCTCCTCGTGATCCTTTTCCTGCTGCTTTCACTCTGTTCCACCTGCTCTGCCCGCCCAGGGCTGGCCCAGAGCCCCCCACCCTTCCTGGCCCTTCCCCGGGTCTGTTCCTGGGTGGTTTTAGGGTGGCAGAGCTCCCCAGGAGCTCTCTCTGTGCTCCTCGTGATCCTTTTCCTGCTGCTTTCACTCTGTTCCACCTGCTCTGCCCGCCCAGGGCTGGCCCAGAGCCCCCCACCCTTCCTGGCCCTTCCCCGGGTCTGTTCCTGGGTGGTTTTAGGGTGGCAGAGCTCCCCAGGAGCTCTCTCTGTGCTCCTCGTGATCCTTTTCCTGCTGCTTTCACCCTGTTCCACCTGCTCTGCACCCCCAAACCCTTCCTGGCCCTTCCCCGGCTCTGTTCCTGGCTGGTTTTAGGGTTGCAGAGGAAGGCAAAGTTCCCCAGGAGCTCTCTCTATGCTCCTCACAATCCTTTTCTTGCTCTTTTCACCCTGCTCCACCTGCTCTGCCCACCCAGGCCTGGCTCTGCACCCCAAACCCCTCCTGTGCCCCCTCCCCGGGTCTCTGCTGCATGGTTTTAGGGTGGCAGAGCTCCCCAGGAGCTCTCTCTGTGCTCCTCGTGATCCTTTTCCTGCTGCTTTCACCCTGTTCCACCTGCTCTGCACCCCCAAACCCTTCCTGGCCCTTCCCCGGCTCTGTTCCTGGCTGGTTTTAGGGTTGCAGAGGAAGGCAAAGTTCCCCAGGAGCTCTCTCTATGCTCCTCACAATCCTTTTCTTGCTCTTTTCACCCTGCTCCACCTGCTCTGCCCACCCAGGCCTGGCTCTGCACCCCAAACCCCTCCTGTGCCCCCTCCCCGGGTCTCTGCTGCATGGTTTTAGGGTGGCAGCCCCCGGGCCCCCCCTGACCTGCCAGAGGTCGAGGCCGATGACGCCGAAGCTGTCGTAGGCGTAGAGCAGCGGGTCGGGGCTGTACTCGGGGTTCTCGATCTCGGGGTGCACCCACTTGCCCTTGTAGTTGGGGTTGTCGATCTGCTGCGGCCTCCACTCGCCCTGGGGGGCGCAACGGGGGGCTCAGGGGGGGCTCAGCCCCCTCCCCGGCCCCCCCCGAGGCCCCCCAGCCTCACCTTGTACTCGGGGTTCTGGATGACGGGGGGCTCCCACTCCCCGTCCATCTCCTCGTCCCAGTCCTCCGGCTTCTTGGCCTCGGGGTCGGGGATGTGCTCGGGCTTGTCCCAGTCCTGCGGGGGGCTGGGGGCTCAGGGGGGGCTCAGGGGGCTGCTGTGCCCCCCCAAGGGGCTGCTGTGCCCCCCCAGGGGCTGCTCTGCCCCCCAGGACGGTGCCACAAACCTCCCTCCACTCCCCAACCCTCCCCAGTCCCCCCATTCTCCTGCCTTTTCACAAGACCCCCACAGCGCCGGGAGACCCCCGGGCCCTCCCCAAGACCCCTCAGAGCTCCCCCAAAGCCCCCATCCCCACCTCGGGCTTGGTGTCCTCGGGGTCGTCGATCTTGGCCCGCTCGTCCCAGTCCTCGGGTTTCTTGGCCTCGGGGTCCTTGATCTTCTTGGGGGGCAGGAAGTCCCAGTCCTCCTCCAGGCTCCCCGACTCCACGCGGGCGTTGTCGATCTTCACCTCGTACGTGTTGTCCGGCCGCACCACCAGCGTGTACAGGTGGGTGAACTCGTCGTCCTGGGGGGCACGGGGGGGCTCAGCAGGGCCGGGCACCCCCCGAGGGGCACCCAGCACCCCCAGACCCACCTTGCAGCGGATGTCCTTGTTGATCAGCACGTTCTTGCCTTTGTAGTTAAAGATCACGTGCACCTTCTTGGTGCCGGGGCCGCAGATGTCGGGGCCTGGGGGGGGCATGGCGAGGAGGGGGGCTCAGCGAGGGGCTGAGCCCACCCGGGGGGGCTGGGGGGACGCCGGGGGAGGCGCACCGAACATGATGTTGTACTCGGAGTCGCCGTGCATGTCCTCCTGGCTCAGGCTGGCCGGGAAGAGCTTGACGTAGCCGCCGCCGCAGTCGATGTTCTGCTCGTGCTTCACGGTGAACTGCAGCACCAGCGTCCTGTCGCGGTTGCTGAAGGGCTCGAAGCGCGACGACAGGGCGTAGAAGCGCGCGTCCTGGCTGGTCTGGATGCCTGCGGGGCGGGGGCGGTGAGGAACTGCGCGGCCCGCGGCTCCTCCCACCCCGCCGGCCCCGCTCACCTTTGTCCTTCTCGGCGTCGCCGTAGAACTTGCCGGCGGTGAGCACGAAGCGCCCGTAGTCGGGTTTGTGCTTGGATTCCACCCACCGGCTGCTCCAGGCGTCTGTGGGAGGGCAGGGTCAGCGCCCCGGGACCCTCCGGGGCTGGCCCTGCGCCCCCAAACCCCTCCTGTGCCCCCCCGGGGCTGCTCGGGCTGGTTTTAGGGTTGCAGAGTTCCCCAGGAGCTCTCTCCGTGCTCCTCGGGATCCTTTTCCTGCTGCTTTCACCCTGTTCCACCTGCTCTGCACCCCCAAACCCTTCCTGGCCCTTCCCCGGCTCTGTTCCTGGCTGGTTTTAGGGTTGCAGAGGAAGGCAAAGTTCCCCAGGAGCTCTCTCTATGCTCCTCACAATCCTTTTCTTGCTCTTTTCACCCTGCTCCACCTGCTCTGCCCACCCAGGCCTGGCTCTGCACCCCAAACCCCTCCTGTGCCCCCTCCCCGGGTCTCTGCTGCATGGTTTTAGGGTGGCAGAGGAAGGCAGAGTTCCCCAGGAGCTCTCTCTGTGCTCCTCACAATCCTTTTCCTGCTCTTTTCACCCTGTTCCACCTGCTCTGCTTGCTCAGGGCTGGCCCAGAGCCCCCCACCCTTCCTGGCCCTTCCCCGGGTCTGTTCCTGGGTGGTTTTAGGGTGGCAGAGCTCCCCAGGAGCTCTCTCTGTGCTCCTCACAATCCTTTTCCTGCTCTTTTCACCCTGTTCCACCTGCTCTGCCCGCCCAGGGCTGGCCCTGAGCCCCCCACCCTCCCTGGCCCTTCCCTCAGCCCCCTCAGCCTCGCTGTCCCCACAGCCAGAGCTGAGGAGTGGCTCCTGTGTCCCTGTCACCTCAGGGAGCACGCGGGGCTGCCCCTTCTCTGCCCTCACAGAACGCAGAAGAATTTCCTCTTTTTCTCCCTTTGGGTCTGTTCCTGGGTGGTTTTAGGGTTGCAGAGCTCCCCAGGAGCTCTCTCTGTGCTCCTCGTGATCCTTTTCCTGCTGCTTTCCCTCTGTTCCACCTGCTCTGCCACAGCTGAGGAGTGGCTCCTGTGTCCCTGTCACCTCAGGGAGCACGCGGGGCTGCCCCTTCTCTGCCCTCACAGAACGCAGAATAATTTCCTCTTTTTCCCCCTCAGAGATCACCGGAGGCTCCCGCCATTCTCCCCTCACAGAACAGAGTAATCTCCCTATTTTTTCTTTAAAGAACCCCTCACAGAACACAGCTTGGGAGGGGGGAATATTACTTAATTCTCTCCCCTCAGAAAATACTTTGCCCCCCCCCTCTCCCCTCAGAAGTCATCGAGAGCCCTCCCATTTTCTACCCTCACAGATCACAGGAGAACCCCCCCATTCTCCCCTCAGAAAATACTTTGCCCCCCCTTCTCCCCTCAGAAGTCATCGAGAGCCCTCTCATTTTCTACTCTCACAGATCACAGGAGAATCCCCTCATAGAACAGAGAAATCCCCCCATTTTTTCTTTAAAGAACACAGAGGATCACTCCATTCGCCCCTCACAGCTTGTGGGGGGGGGGGGGCCCCCAATTTTCTCCCCTCAGAAAATACATGAGCCCCCCTTTCTCCCCTCGGAAGTCATCGGGAGCCCTGCCATTTTCTCCCCTCACAGATCACAGGAGAACCCCCCCATTCTCCCCTCAGAAAAGACGGGAAGGCCCCTCCGTTCTCCCCCCTCACACAACACAAGAGGGGCCTCCCATCCTCCTGCCTCCCCTCAGACACCCCCGGGCCCCCTCAGGCACCGCCCCCCCCACCCCTTCCCCTCAGGAGCCCCCCTTAGGCCCCGCCCTCAGCGACCCCCGCCCCGGCCCCTCCCTCACCTCCATCCCCGAACTCCTCGCGGAAGAACTGGGTGGGGCCGGCGGCCGCCAGGAGGGCCCCGAGCAGCGCGGGGGCGAGGAGGCTGAGGGGGCTCATGGCGGGGGCTCAGGGCACGCTCGCTCCGCTGCGCTCCGTCCGGCCCGGCGCCGCCCGGCACTGCGGAGGGGGGAGGCGGCGCCGCCGCCTCTTATACTCCCGCCGCCCCTCGCCCCGCCTCCGCCGCGCTGCCATTGGCCCCAGCCCGCGCGCGGCCCGCTCCCATTGGCCGCCCGCCCGCCCGCCGGCGGCGCCGGCGCCCCCGAACGTTGGCGTCCCAGATGGCCGCTTCCCATTGGCTGAGCGCGAGGGCCAATGAGGAGCGACCACGCGTTCGGAGGGAGACGCCCCCCCCCGCCTCGCTCCGGGGGTCACGTGGGGAGCGCGCCCTTAAAGGGACAGGCCCAAGAATGGGGGGGGAGCGGGAAATTGAGGGGAAATCGGGAACATGGGGAGGGGGCGGCGGGCGCGCGGCCTGGGGCGGCCTCCCGCTCGCCTCTGCCTCCGCACCGCGCCGTGACGCGGGGGTGATGTCATCGGTTGGGTGATGTCACGGCAGGTGAAGGTGAGCCCAGGCCTGGGGGCCGCTCCGGGCCCGATCAGCCCGCGGAGGAGCCGCTTTAGCGCCGCATGACGTCATCGCGCCGCTCCGTGACGTCACAGCCACCCGCGCGCCCCCGCCACACCCAACATGGCGCCACACCCAAGATGGCGACGGCGCCACCTCCACCTCCTCCCTCCCCGGCGCGGCACTTCCGGCGAGCCGCCGCCACTTCCGGCGGGGCGCGCCGTCTCTTCCGGTCATGGCGCCCAGCATGGCGCCCAGCGTGGCCGAGCGGCTCCTGGCGCGGCTGCAGCAGGCGCCGGCTCCCGGCGGGCTCTGCAGCCTCGAGGCCGCCGCCCAGCTCGGCGTGGACCACCAGGAGCTGGTGGGCGCCGTGAAGAGCCTGCAGGCGCTGGGCGAGGTGCGCGCGGCGGGGCCGGGGCGGCGCGGGGCCCGCGCGGGCCGCGCTGATCCCGCTGCCCCCGGTGCTCCCGGTTCTCCCGGCGCAGGTGATCGAGGCGGAGGCGCGGACGGCCACGCGCTGGGAGCTGAGCGCCGAGGGCGAGGAGGTGCTGCGGGACGGCAGCCCCGAGGCGCGGCTGTTCCGGAGCCTGCCCGAGGCGGGGCTGCCCCCCCCGTGCCCCCCAGGTGCCCCAGGTGCAGGACGCCGTGCAGCAGCAGCTGCAGCAGCTCTGGGCCGGGGGGGCCCTGGGGGTCAGAGCCATTTGGGGAGGGGTCTCCTGGGCCTGGCTGTGCCCCCCATGCCCCCCGTGCCCCCCAGGTGCCCCAGGTGCAGGACGTGGTGCAGCAGCAGCTGCAGCAGCTCCGGGCCGGGGGGGCCCTGCCCGAGCGCGAGCGCGCCGAGCTCAAGAGGAGGAAGCTGCTGCTGGAAGTGTGAGTGGGGCAGCTAATTAGCCCCTTAATTGTTGGCACTGGGCTGAGTGGGCCGTGCCCCCCCGGGCCGTGCCCCCCATGCCCCCCGTGCCCCCCAGGTGCCCCAGGTGCAGGACGTGGTGCAGCAGCAGCTGCAGCAGCTCCGGGCCGGGGGGGCCCTGGGGGTCAGAGCTATTTGGGGAGGGGTCTCCTGGGCCTGGCACTGGCTGAGCCCCCCCGGGCCGTGCCCCCCGTGCCCCCCAGGTGCCCCAGGTGCAGGACGTGGTGCAGCAGCAGCTGCAGCAGCTCCGGGCCGGGGGGGCCCTGCCCGAGCGCGAGCGCGCCGAGCTCAAGAGGAGGAAGCTGCTGCTGGAAGTGTGAGTGGGGCAGCTAATTAGCCCCTTAATTGTGTCCTTCTCGTTAATTAGCAGGGCTGGCTGGTGGGTTTTCGTTCCGTTCTTTGGGGGTTTTGTTGTGGTTTTGGGCTGGGAACGTCTCGTCCCCAGGGTTTGGGTTGGGTAACAGCCCAATTAATCTCGGTAAAATCAAGATTTCAGTAATTTAGCAGCCCAATTAATCTCTGTAAAATCAAGATTTCAGTAATTTAGCAGCCCAATTAATCTCAGTGAAATCAAGATTTCAATAATTTAGCAGCCCAATTAATCTCAGTGAAATCAAGATTTCAATAATTTAGCAGCCCAATTAATCTCAGTGAAATCAAGATTTCAATAATTTAGCAGCCCAATTAATCTCAGTGAAATCAAGATTTCAATAATTTAGCAGCCCAGTTCATCTCAGTAAAATCAAGATTTCAATAATTTAGCAGCCCAATTAATCTCTGTAAAATCAAGATTTCAATAATCTAGCAGTCCAGTTAATCTCACCCAAATCAAAGTTTCACTCGTTTATCAGCCCGATTAATCTCACCCAAATGAAGATTTCAGTAATCCAACAGCCCAATCTCGGTAAAATCAAGATTTCAGTAATTTAGCAGCCCAATTAATCTTTGTAAAATCAAGATTTCAATAATTTAGCAGCCCAATTAATCTCAGTGAAATCAAGATTTTAATAATCTAGCAGTCCAATTAATCTCACCCAAATCAAAATTTCAATCGTTTATCAGCCCGATTAATCTCACAATCTCAGTAAAATCAAGATTTCAATAATTTAGCAGCCCAATTAATCTTTGTAAAATCAAGATTTCAATAATTTAGCAGCCCAATTAATCTCAGTGAAATCAAGATTTTAATAATCTAGCAGTCCAATTAATCTCACCCAAATCAAAATTTCAATCGTTTATCAGCCCGATTAATCTCACCCAAACGAAGATTTCAGTAATCCAACAGCCCCGTTAATTTCAGCCAAATGATTTCCATCATTTAACAGCCAAATTAATCTCAGTAAAATCAAGATTTTCATGATCTAATAGCCCAATTAATCTCTTCCAAATCAAGATTTCAATAATCTAGCAGCCCAATTAACCTCAGTAAGATCAGGATTTGAGTGATGTAGCAGTTCAATTAATCTCACCCAAATGAAGATTTCAATGACCTAAGAGCCCAATTAATCTGAGACAAATGAAGATTCAAATCAAGATTTCAATAATCTAGCCGCCCAATTAACCTCAGTAAAATCAGGATTTGAGTGATGTAGTAGTTCAATTAATCTCACCCAAATGAAGATTTCAATGACCTAAGAGCCCAATTAATCTGAGACAAATGAAGATTTCAATAATCTGACAGCCCAATTAATCTCAGCCAGATGATTTCCACAATCTAGCAGCCCAATTAATCTCTCCTAAATGAAAATTTCAGTAATCTAACAGCCCAATTAATCCCACCCAAAACTGGATTTCCATGATCTAGCAGCTCAATTAATCTTACTCTAATGAAGATTTCAATGATCTAAGAGCCCAATTAATCTGAGACAAACGAAGATTTCAATAATCTAGCAGCCCAATTAATCTCTCCTAAATGAAGATTTCAATAATCTGACAGTCCAATTAATCCCACCCAAATCAAGATTTCCGTGATCTAGCAGCCCAATTAATCTCACCCAAAAGAAGATTTTAATGAGTTATCAGACCAATTAATCCCACCCAAAACTGGATTTCCATGATCTAGCAGCCCAATTAATCTCACCCAAAAGAAGATTTTAATGAGTTATCACCCCAGTTAATGTCGCCCAAATGAAGATTTCTATGATCTAATAGCTCAATTAATCTCAGTAAAATTGATATTTCAGTGGTCAGTGGTCTAGCAGCCCAATTAATCTCACCCAAAAGAAGATTTTAATGAGTTATCACCCCAGTTAATGTCGCCCAAATGAAGATTTCTATGATCTAATAGCTCAATTAATCTCGGTAAAATTGAGATTCCAGCGGTCAGTGGTCTAGCAGCTCAATTAATCCCACCCAAAACTGGATTTCCATGATCTAGCAGCCCAATTAATCTCACCCAAATGAAGATTTTAATCAGTTATCAGCCCAATTAATCTCACCCAAATGAAGATTTCCATGACCTGGCACCCCAATCAAAGCCTCTGTGTAAAATTTCCGTCACTGAAACACCACATAAAACCCGTGAAGCCGCTCGTTAACGAAGCCAGCCCTAATTAAAGCAGCCCATTAACGAAGCCAGCCCTAATTAAAGCAGCGGGGGGGCTCGGGGGGCCCTGGCCGCCCCCCCACGCCCCCCGTGCCCCCCCAGGACCCTCAAGTCCTTCTGGATCCGCAAGGGCAGCGCCTTCAGCACGGCCGTGCCGCGGCCGCACGCCGAGCTCACCGCGGACATGATCGCCACGTAGGTGCCCCCCGGGACCCCCAGGACCCCCCCGGGACCCCCGGCGGGCCCTGCCCTGACCCCCCGCCCGCCCTGCAGGGGCTCCTGGCGCCGGCTGCCCTTCAAACCCTACAACTTCTGCTCGCTGGGGCTGCCCCCGGCCTGCGGGCACCTGCACCCGCTGCTCAAGGTGCGCTCGGAGCTGCGCCAGATCTTCCTGGAGATGGGGTGAGTGGGGGGCTTGTGGGGGGCGGCACGCGGCCCCCCCCAGCCCCGAGTTAACCCCCGCGTGCCCAGCTTCACGGAGATGCCCACGGACAATTTCGTGGAGAGCTCCTTCTGGAACTTCGACGCGCTCTTCCAGCCGCAGCAGCACCCGGCCCGCGACCAGCACGACACCTTCTTCCTGCTGGGTGGGTGCTGGGGGGGCTCGGGGAGCTGCTGAGCCCCCCGTGAGAAGGAAGAGAGGGGTTTTGGGGGGCATCAGTGGGATTTGGGGTGTCAGTGGGATTTGGGGCGCTCAGAGCAGCGTAGGAGGCTCAGCGTTGTTTTGGGGGCTCTGGGTGGGTCTGGGGGCTTGGGGGACCTTGGGGAGTACTGCCATGAGGAGGAAGAGAGGGATTCTGGGGGGTATTAGTGGGATTTTGGGGGAGATTAGCGGGATTTGAGGTGTCAGTGGGATTTGGGGCACTCAGAGCAGTGTAGGAGGCTCAGCGTTGTTTTGGGGGGCTCAGGAACCTCGCAGCAATTTGGGGGCCACCCAAGCAGCTGCGGGGCAGTCTGGGGGTCCCAGCTGCCCCCCACGGCCGCCCTGTCCCCCTCCCCACGCCAGATCAGTGGGATTTGAGGTGTCAGTGGGATTTGGGGCGCTCAGACCAGCACGGGAGTCTCGGCGTTGTTTTGGGGGGCTCAGGAACCTCGCAGCAATTTGGGGGCCACCCGAGCAGCTGCGGGGCAGTCTGGGGGTCCCAGCTGCCCCCCCACGGCCGCCCCGTCCCCCTCCCCACGCCAGGAGAAGTTCACCCCCGTGAAGCTGTTCTCCATCGACCGCGTGTTCCGCAACGAGAGCCTGGACGCCACGCACCTGGCCGAGTTCCACCAGGTCGAGGGGCTGGTGGCCGACCGGGGGCTCACCCTGGGCCACCTCATGGGCACCCTGCGCCAGTTCTTCACCAAGCTGGGTAGGCGGGGGGCGCGGGGAGGGACCCCAGCCCCCTCGGAGCCCCCCTGACCCGCCCCGCGCCCCCAGGGATCTCGCAGCTGCGCTTCAAACCCGCCTACAACCCCTACACGGAGCCCAGCATGGAGGTGTTCAGCTACCACCAGGGTGAGGGGGGTCCCGGGGGGCTCCTGCTGGAGATGGGGGGCTTGGGGAGCTCCTCTTGGGGTCCTGGGGGGCTCCTATTGGGGTCCTGGGGGTCTCCTGCTGGAGATGGGGGGGCTTGGGGGGCTCCTGTTGGGGTCCTGGGGGGCTCCTCTTGGAGCTGGGGATGAGTTCCCTGGAGAGGGGGAGCGCTCCGGGGTCCCAATTTGGGGAGGGGGTCTGTGGGGTGCCCCAGCCCACCCTCGCGCCCCCTCCCCAGGGCTGAAGAAGTGGGTGGAGGTGGGGAACTCGGGGGTCTTCCGCCCCGAGCTGCTGCTGCCCATGGGGCTCCCCGACAACGTCTCCGTCATCGCCTGGGGGCTCTCGCTGGAGCGGTGAGTGGGGGTCTCTGGGGGGGGGGACCCCGCTGTGGGCCCCCCACCCGCTGCGCCCCCTCCCCAACCCCGCCTCCCCCAGCCCCACCATGATCAAATACGGCATCAACAACATCCGCGAGCTCGTGGGGCACCGCGTCAACCTGCAGATGGTCTACGACAGCCCCATGTGCCGCCTGGACGCGTGACCCCCGCCCCGGGGGTCCCCTCCTTCGTGGGGAGGGGTCCCGTCCCCGGAGGGGTCCCGTCCCCAATAAAGGCCGGTGTCCTGCGCTGCCTCTGTGTGTCTGTGTGCTGGGCAAGGGAACCGCGGGTTTATTGTCACCTCGTGGCGTCGCACGGCGCTGGGGAAGCGGAGACCGGCCCGGGACCCCCGAGACCGGCCCGGGACCCCTCGGGACCCCCGAGACCCCCGAGACCCCCGGGACCCCCGGGCCCTTCCCGCCACTGCCTTTTCCTGCCCGCCCATTGGCCCGCGCAGGTGCCAATCATCCCCTGGGCTCCCAACGGGCTCCAATCAGCAGCGCCGAGGTGTGAATGGCGGGCGCTGATTGGGCGGCGGTGGTGCCCGCCCCGCGGAGCCCCGTGAGGGCGGCGTGCTGAGGGGCGGCCGAGGGTCGCAGGTACGGCCCCGAACCGGCACCGGCCCGAGCCCCGATCGGCCCCCGGCACCGGCCCCAGCAGGGCTTGGAGCCCCCAGCCCACCCCCGGCACCGGCCCGAGCCCGGGATCCCGGCCCGAGCCGGGCTTAGAGCCCGATCCCACCGCCGGCACCGGCCCGAGCCGGGCCTGGAGCACAATCTACCCCCGGTACCGGCCCAGCCGGGCTTGGAGCCCTGATCCGATCCCCCGGTACCGGCCCAGCCGGGCTTAGTGTCCTGATCCACCCCTGGTACCGGCCCGAGCCGGGCCTGGAGCCCGAACCGATCCCCGGTACCGGCCCAGCCGGGCTTAATGCCCGATCCCATCCCCGGTACCGGCCCGAGCTGGGCTTAGTGTCCTGATCCACCCCTGGTACCGGCCCGAGCCGGGCCTGGACCCCGAACCCGGCACCGGCCCGAGCCGGGCCTGAAGCCCTGATCCGATCCCCGGTACCGGCCCAGCCGGGCTTAGTGTCCTGATCCACCCCTGGTACCGGCCCGAGCCGGGCCTGGACCCCGAACCCGGCACCGGCCCGAGCCGGGCCTGAAGCCCCGATCCCACCCCTCGCTCCAGCGAGAGCCCCACCCCGTACCGGTACCGGCCCCAGCCCGGTTTGGTGGCCCGGTACCGGCCCCAGCCCGGCTCGGTGCCCAATCCACCTCCGCTACCGGCCCGAACCGGGCTTGGAGCCGCGATCCAGCCCCGGTACCGGCCCCATCCCGGCTCGGTGCCCGATCCAGCCCCGGTACCGACCCCATCCCGGCTCGGTGCCCGATCCAGCCCCGGTACCGGCCCCAGCCGGGCCCTTCCCTGCAGCCCCCCGGGGCCGGGATGTCGCGGGAGGAGCCGGACCCCCGGTACCGACCCCAGCCCGGGATCCCGGCCCAAACAAGGCTCGGTGCCCGATCCAGCCCCGGTACCGACCCCATCCCGGCTCGGTGCCCGATCCAGCCCCGGTACCGGCCCCAGCCGGGCCCTTCCCTGCAGCCCCCCGGGGCCGGGATGTCGCGGGAGGAGCCGGAGGGCCCCGAGGCGGAGGCGGCGGCGGGACAGAGCCCGTTCCCGGCGGAACCGGGCGAGGACGAGCCCCCCGGTGAGGAGCCGGCCAGGTACCGCTTCCCCCGGACCCGCGGCCACAACCGAGCCAAACCAGCGGGGGGATGAGCGGAGGAGGGGGACGCGCGTGTCACAGCGTTAATTAGAGGGGGATTCCCAATTAGCGGGGCTGGCGCGGCGCACAGCCCGTCCCTGTGCCGGGGGCGTGGGGCCCTGGCAGGGGGAGCAGCCCTGATGGGGGGGGCGTCCCTGTCCCTGTGTGACCTCATGGGGGTCCCTGTCCCTGTGTGACCCCGGCCCTGATGGGGGTCCCTGTCCTTGTGTGACCCCGGCCCTGATCGGGGTCCCTGTCCCTGTGTGACCCCGGCCCTGATGGGGCAGAAATGTTCCTTGCCCTGTCCCCAAGGGCTCGGTGCCCCTCAGAGGGTCCCTGTCCCTGTGTGACCCCGGCCCTGATCGGGGTCCCTGTCCTTGTGTGACCTCATGGGGGTCCCTGTCCCTGTGTGATGGGGACATTCCCGTGCTGGGGCAGGGATGTCCCTCGCCCTGTCCCCATGGGCTCTGTGCCCCTCAAAAGGTCCCTGTCCTTGTGTGACCCCGGCCCTGATGGGAGTCCCTGTCCCCCGTGGGCTGTCCCCCTTCCCTCCCTGTCCCTCCCTGTCCCCCGCGAGCTGTCCCCCGTCCCTCCCCGCCCCCTGTGCCCTGTCCCCGCCGCTCGGTGAGGGTGCCGTGTCCCGCCCGAGGCCGTGCGCGGGGCCAGCGCTGGCTCCCCGCTCCTCCGCCTTCTTCGCCTCGCTGGACGCCGCCGTGGCGGGGCTGCAGCGGCGGGTGCAGGGCGCGCTCGGCCGCATCAACCGCGGCCGCGAGGAAGCGCACACGGAGCTGAGCGGCGTCAGGGACGGGCTGCTGCTCAAGGTAAGCTCGGAGCGGCTCCCCTCCCTCCCTTCCCCCGGGGCACCGCGTTATTCCGCCCGCTCTGCCGGCACCAGAGCCCGGCCGTGGGGGCAGCTGCGCAGCCCGGCCGGGGGGAGCCCCCCGAGCCCCCCGCAGCTGCCCCCGGCCCCGCTTCCAGCGGCCCCCGATGTCCCCCGCGCTGCCCCCCCCTTGTCCCCACGCCGGGCTCGGGGGGCTCGGGCCGGACGAGCCGCGGCCCCGCTCGGGCAGGTCTCGGAGCTGGCGGAGCAGCTGGAGGAGCGGCTCTTCCGCCGCTACGGCTTCCACAACGGCATGATCCAGGAGCGGCTGCAGGCGCTCGGCGAGGTGCTGCAGCGCGTGGAGGAGGCGCAGGCCGAGCTGCGCGGCGTCTGCTGCACCGTGGAGGCGGCTTACCAGGACCTCTGCCTGCAGCACGAGGCCTGAGGGCACCCCCAGAAAGCCGCGGGACCCCCCAAAAGCCGCGGCACCGCGGGGCCGTGCCAGGCCAAAGGGGGATTTTGGCCCCAAAGGGCTTTTGTGTTGCTGTTGGTGGTTGGAACAAATAAAGGGCTGAAGCTGACCCAAAAGCTGGATTGGGGGGCTCGGCTGGGCTGTGACCCCCCCCAGAGAGGGCAGAGCTGGGTCCTGGCAGGTTGATTAACGCTGACAAGCAGGGCTGGCATGGAGGGGCTGTCCCACCGTTTATTGGCCACGGGGGTGGCGAAGGCACCGGGGTGGCACCGGGCACGGCGCCAGCACCAGCGGGGTCCCCTGGGTGACACCGAGTCCTGTCGGTGACACCGAGTCCCGCTGGTGGCACGAGGTTTGGCTGGGGTGGCACTGGGTCCCATCAATGACACAAGATGTCCTTGGTGACACCTGGTCCCGTTGGTGACACTGGGTCCTGTCGGTGGCACGATGTGTGGCTGGTGGCACTGGGTCCCATCAACGACACGGGATGTCCTTGGTGACACCGGGTCCCGCCAGTGACACTTCTGGGGACGCCTGGCTCTGGTTGGTGGCACTGGCCCCGCTCAGTGCCACATCTCCTGGCGCCCCTCGCCGCGAGGAGCAGAGCCGGTCCCCGGCGGTGCCACCGCGTCCCCGCCGTGCCCTCTGCTGTGTCCCCTCTAGGCCCCCTTGGCCGGGGCAAAGGCCTGGATGCCGGTGATGGCGCGGCCCAGGATCAGCGCGTGGATGTCGTGGGTGCCTGCGGGGATCCCCACGCTCAGCACAGCCCCCCGACCCCCCCGGGGAGCCCCCGGGCCCCCTCCCCGCCGTACCCTCGTAGGTGTTGACGGCCTCGAGGTTCATGAGGTGCCGGATGACGTGGAACTCGTCGCAGATGCCGTTGCCCCCCAGCATGTCCCGCGCGTCCCGGGCGATGCCCAGCGCCTTCCCGCACGAGTTCCGCTTCAGCATCGACACCATCTCGGGGGCAGCCCTGGGGGGACGCGCCCGGGGACACGCTGAGCCCCGCGGGGACCCCCCGGGACCCCCCCGGGCACGGCGGCACCCACCTGCCCTCGTCCTTGAGGCGGCCGAGCCGCAGGCAGGCGTGCAGCCCCAGCGTGATCTCGGTCACCATGTCCGCCAGCTTCCTCTGCACCAGCTGGTTCCGGGCCAGCGGGCCCCCAAACTGCTTCCTGCCGGGCAGGGGAGGGGGGCGCTGAGGTTTGGAGGGGCGGGGGGCGGTGGGGCCCCCCCGGAGCGCGCCCCCAGCCCCCCGTTACCTGTCGAGCACGTACTGCCGCGCCGTCTCCAGGCAGGCCTCGGCGGCGCCCAGCGCGCCCCAGGCGATGCCGTAACGCGCCTGGGTCAGGCAGCCGAAGGGGCCCTGGGGGACGGGGGGTGTCACCGGGACCCCCCGACCCACCCGGAGCACCCCCGTTCCATCAGGACCCCCTGCATCCCACCGGGACCCGCCCCGTCCCACCGGGACCCTCCCATCCCACCGGGACCCCTCCCCATCCCACCGGGACCCCCCCCCGT